TAGTATATAAAAACAAAAGAACGCATAATCATGAAATTTTAAAAAAAGTAAAATTCTAAGCCGTACTTTTAATTGTTCGGACTATAGTAGTATGAGAATATGCAATTATAATCACGATGATCATAATAATGATTGCCTTGGTAGAAAGACTCATAACTACATTTGCAAGGGTGTGGGTACGGCTGTGAGTTTTCCTTGCACCAACATACATACCCTATATCCACAGCCAATCCGAAAACTCCGGTTCGTTACGGGCTTTGGTCGGTGGCATAAATATCTCGGTCAAAATATAACAAAATCCGTCAGACAAAGCTTAAAAACAACACACGATGCACTATTGGCAGTGTTGGAGTAACGAATTATGGGTAAATAAACTCTCAAGATAATAGAGAGCAGATGTAATATGAATAAAAAACATCTGTATAACACCATAGGTGTTTGGGAGTGCATGCGGATCCACATTTCAGTTTTTTACTGGTAAGACTTTTATACGAAATTTGATATAGTACTTGTGCATCGCTAGAAGACTAACGATTAGCGGAGAGATGATTTCGAAAAGAATAGATCTCTAAGTAGAAAAACAACGAAAAACAGTGTTGTGGATCTCTTATCTAAACCGCACAAAAAGTATTTTTTCAAGTAAGGATGTTAACTTATCTTTATTGTTCTTGATAATGAAAAATATCTTTATGATCAGGTACAAAAATGCAACATCGTACGCATACCGCCTGCTTTACGACTATCTGTCGTCGTACGCGATAAAAATAACTGCTCATAGTCGGTTGTAAACGACAACAAAATCGATAAAATTCGTATTGTTGTCACATACTTTTCGATTACAACCATATACGAGCAATATTTTCATTGTATACGCCGACATACGGTTGTAAATCAGATTCTCTATACCTCAGTATCCAAACGCTGAAGGTAAATAATATTATTATTATCTTTCTAAAAAAAGGATAAATGATTTTTGTATTTTTAAAAGATAAAGAAAATTAACTAATAAAAACAAAGTTTTTTTTTACGAAAACCTAATCTTCTATTTTGTTCAGCTAGCTCAATTGTAGCATCTGAGTTACAAAAAGTATACGAATTAGGTTTTTTTCATCTATCTTTTTAGGTATTATTCTCATTTTTTTTAACAAAATCTCATATACAAGTGTCAACGGTGATAGGAAAGACCGTTAATTCATGTTGTTAAACTGCATATTTAATCTATTTACCTATCACAAAAGATCAGATTTTTACTCTTTAATTTTTTTCTTTATTTTTAAAAAATAAAGAATTTATTTTACGAAATAAAGATAAGATAACATCTCAACTCTGCAGCTTATAACAAGTTGCATTAAAAGAGTTATTTATGCTATTCATGAACATCAAAATTATTTCGAGCTTTATATAGCTCAGAACTAGTTGTATTAGGTTTGCAATGGACTGGCCGTGGGTTCGAATCTCGTTGCAAGCTGTCGCTGAAAAAATTGCCACTTTGCTGTTTACGGTATCTGAGCGTTATATCATAGTTCACTACGGTGCGTCGATTGGACTCTGACGCAGAGTGACGGTTATTTTTTCAATTTTTTCAGAATAAAAGAAACTCATTCAGTTTTTTGAACGCTTTCATACATCCGAAAATGTTGCATTTTGCACGCATTCAAATGCATCAAGTCACATTGCTTATAAACGCTCAGAGACGCATTACAAATCTGAATTTGGTCACATGGGTAAGATAACAATAAAGTTCGCTATCGTTATCGTCACGGCTCTTAGCGATATCTTTTTTTATTCACATAGAATAGTATGTAAAATAGATCATTTATAAAATCAGGTGTTCGGAAGGCAAAGTAACTGCATCTGAGCACCAGTTTCCCTTTCCTGATATCATCATTCATCATAGAAAGTGAAACGTGGAAGCTTGAAAGATTTGAGCCTCATCTGAATTAGACACTATTAGGTTCAGCCTCACATGAATTACTATCATTGATGGTGCAACATGTACGCTTTTTAGGTTCAAGCCTCACCTGATTTGCAAACGTTCCACCGTCCTTGAACATAAGAGTTTTACTCCAGTGTTATCTGTACCATATTGAAACAAAACTCTTATGTCTTATCTCTACTCGACAATAAACTTGATACAAAGTATGATAGTATCGAAACAGAAACGAGAAAAGACTTCTATCTGGGGGTATAAAAAACCTTGAGAGTGTTGATTACTGATAATACAACCCTCGTTATCATTTATATACCATAAGATGATTGTAAAATGTATTATTTGCTTCACATAATAAAAAATGCTTAAAGAAGTAAGTCCTGCATAACAACATAATAATCCAGACGAATACTTTTTTTGTTCTTAGTTTTTTCGTAAATACGATAAGCGCATAGGATTCGTTCTATTATTAATAAGTAATTCAGTTGGTCTAGGAAACGTTTGGCGTTTTCCATTTCTCACATATAAGAATGGTGGTGGAGCTTTTCTAATACCATATTTTCTATTATATATTTTTATTGGGTTACCATTATATGTAAGCTATAGTAAATTATATGACAGACACAATTTTTCTCGTTTTTTTTTCTAGTACTTAGAATTATCACTTGGTCAGTTTACATCGAAAGGCCCACCAAGTGCCTATGGTTTAGTTAGAGGATCACTTGGTTAGAATTCAATTATCATTATTTTTCTTAAAAACGTCCCTGAATATAATAATTTTTTTAGGCATTGGAATATCAATGTTAACCAATGCTGCAATAACGATATGTTTTTATAATGTTATTATTAGTTGGGCATTACTTTTTTTTCTGTTGTCATTTCGAAAGACTTTACTTTGGAATCAGTGTAATAAGCATTGGAATACTCCAAATTGTGTCGATTTATGTAAGTTGACGTTAAATTTTTTCTGTGAGATTAATTTTTGTTTGCTAAAAAAAAATTGTAGCTAACTCGAATATCAGTGTAATAAATGGCACATCATCCGCCGAGGAATTTTTTACGTAAGTTTCGAAGCATTAAAAACTAAAACTAGTGATTGCCACCAGTTTTGAGAAACTCCTTTAGTTCATTTTCGCTTGAAAAAAAAGAGGAGTCGAAGTTTATTACAGGTAATTTAGCTAGGATTTTCAAAATTTTTTTCCTTAATCCCTTCCAATAACTGAACTACATATATCGTGCACATATCAGCGAAAACACAGAAAATTGATTTTCGACAGACTTTCATTTTTGATACTATTGGTACCAGAGGACTGAAAGCAAGAGAGCACAGCAAATTTTGGGATCCAACAACTTATGAAAGTCTATGGGAATTTCTAATGCGAGAATTCTTTAGAGTTCCATAAAATCTAATAGAATTCTATAAAAGATAAAATCCCAGAAACATCATCGCCCATGGAGCTACAGACAACTGATAGCACTGTAGTACCATAGACAATCAGCCGTGAAATGGTATTAGATCCATGTTATGCCAGAGGATTTCATGAGATTCCTTAAGATTCTACATCATTTTATTCGACTCCACAATTCCAAAATTTTATGGAGCCCCATGAAATCCGATGGAATCCACGGCAGAGATGGAACTCAAGGGAAAAACATCATACTTTAAATAAAGTACAAAAGTACGATCTGTGATGATTCATGCTTCTCTCTAGGTTTTCTGTCATATTTTGAGTCACTAAACTGATTAAAGGATATACCAGTGATGAGTCAACCGATCGCCGGTACTAGTTCCATCTCTGACTCCTACAACATATACTTTATCTTATTTACTATCTAGACGTTTTGTACTACGACAAAGTGATGGTTTTCATGATTTTGGTACACCAGCCTGGTATACAATATTATGTTTATTAGGTGCATGGATTATTGTCGCTTTATGTATTCATAGAGGTTTTAATTTAACTGCTCGAGTAAGCTTTACAAATGATTTACATAATAAAATATTTAGAATTTTCAATATTTCCTCATTTTTTAGCTTGCATATATCACAGCACTCTTTCCATATATAATTTTATTAGCCTTATTAATTAGTACATCACAACTTGATGGTGCTGGATTAGGTATTCGATATTATTTGACACCTGATTGGTCAAAAGTTTCAGATTTTCAAGTATGTAGCTCGTAGAGCAGCACAATTTTGTTTCTATCACTCTTTGAATTTCATTCATTTAGGTTTGGCGTGATGCTGCTGGTCAAGTATTTTTTTCCCTAGGTATTGGTTTTGGTTCACTAGTAGCTTATAGTAGTGGAAATGACTTTCATAATAATTATTTTATGTATGTGCGATGATCCTTCAAGCTGAAACATGTAAATAGTTGTTGTTTTATTTTTATTTTAGCCAATGCGTTATTGTTGTTGTATGCGACTGTCTGACTGGTATATTTGCTGGTTTTACTGTATTTGCAACAATTGGTTTTCTAGCTGTAAAATTAAGAGGTGGTGATATTACACAAGCAGCGATTGGTGGTCCTGGTTTGACATTCATTATTTATCCGGAAGCTATTTCACAAATGCCGAATTCACCCGTATTTTCTGTTTTCTTCTTTCTAATGTTAATTACAATAGGTCTTGGATCACAAGTAAACAGAAGATGAAGAAAATATTTAGCGATAAGCTTATGATTTTGTTTTCTTTTTAAATTCTTAGTTTGGTGGAACCGATGTTGTTGTAACAGGTATTTTACAATATTTTCCTCATTTGAAACGATGGCAGGTTGTTATTATTGTATCAATATGTGCATTTTTAATTAGTATACCATTTACATGTCGAGTAAGAATGGAATATGAGGTAACAGCATTATTATCGATTGTTTTTTTTTTAAATTTAGGGTGGAATCTACTTGTTTACATTGATTTCCGATTATGCAGCTAATTTGTCTTTGATTGTCATTGGTTTTTTTGAAGTTATAACGATTGCTTATGTCTATGGTAAGTGCAGAGTTCTCGATAGTTTTCGAAAGTAAAGTAGGAGGTACTAAATTTTCTTCGCAGACATTATCCAGAATTTTTCTCAATCACAGTTAAACAATGGTAATCGGAGGGGAGGAGAATAAGTGACTGCTCTAGAGATAGTTGAAACTTGAGGGTGTGGTTAGTCACTTCATGCACACCCGATATATTTATAGTCTAGGGTTGTCACACTCAAGAAGATTGTTCAATAGTGGAAGACATTTTGAGCTCCGCTTTAAAAATTACGATTGGTTAACATTTAGTATCGAAAAATAATATTTCAAGTATCTGTCAGCTTTATCAAACACTATTAACTGTCTGCAAAATACCTAGATAAAAGTGTGTCTACAAGATCAAACCGAAACTTCAGCCTGTCTGCCAGATCTATCAGAAACTATACACTGTCTGCAGAGTTCCCAGATCATAGTCTGTCGGCTGAATCTGACAGAAATCATCGATTGTCTGGCAGATCTAGCAGAAATAACATACTGTCTTCGAGATCTTACGGAAACAACAGACTGTCTGTCAGATTTGCCAAAAATTACATAATGTCTGTAGAACTCTTGCACCATAGATTGTTAAGCAGATTCAATAGATAGTCTGTATTATGCACCAGATTTGACAGAAACTTAAACACCACTAAAATGTTCGCAGACACATATTGATGGTTTTTTTAAAAAACTGTTGGGTTCTATTTTTAAAATTTCTATATCTGAAAAAGGAAAAAGTTTTAAACCTAAGTATTTGTCCTATAACCACAATTTTTCTATAGAATCAACGGGGCACATTATTAGAAAAATGCTCTTTTCAGCTTGTGATCATATTAAGACATGATGCTTGATTTTCTTACGAAACTTTTCTTACGTTTAAAGTACGTATAGTAATTAATTTTTTTTTTTGTCATTTAGGTTTTAATAATTTTATGAATGATATAAAACTGATGTTAGGAAAACGACGTCCAGAATATTATTTACTTGTAACATGGTGTATAACAGGTCCAATAATATTATTGATTATATTTTTTGCTGCTATAATTAATGACAGTAGTAGATTAATTGTTTATGGCAATTATCAATTTCCACAATGGACATTAGCTTTTGGATGGACAACATTTACCCTTTGTATTATTGCTATGCCTCTGTATTATCTTTATCAATATATTAAATCGTTTCTTTATGTTAGAGCAAATCGTACACCCAATGTAAGTAAACAATACATTAACAGGCAATTGATCTGTTAAATTTTTTTCAGGATGTTGAAGTACCAGATTATATTCGTGCATTTCGATTAACTAATACGCCAGCACACGATTGGGGGCGGAAAGAAACAGAAAATCGAAGAGAACCTAATGCAATAGTACCGTTCACTAACGGTGTAATTACCAATAATGCATTTGAGCCGGAAACGACTGAATTCCAACAATCTTGAGGAGAGTTACCCGAAGAAAACATCCAAGCTTTTTACTCTTACATAATAATAATTCTATTCTTTAAATATTAAACAATGAACAAAAACTACACAAACTATCCTAATTTGTAACTTCATAAACTAGTTTCAAGACAGAAAAATAACATTAAAAAAATATTCATATAATCAAGCGGATGAAGAAAGTAAATAGAATGATTTAGATATCACGAAACCACAACAAACATCTTTTTGAAATTATCCGAAGTCACACAGAAAATATTGACGGACTCGAAGTCAAAAAGTTTGATTCCGGACTCAGTGAAAAATTTCATTCATTAAATCTGATTAAAATCCATCGGATTGAATGAAATAGAAACTTATGATAATTCTCAATTAACAAATGAAGAAAGATAATAATCATTAAGTAATGAACAAATTATAAATTTAATTCAATCTAGAATTAATCAACTAGATGAAACAGAAGAATTAAATGCAAAATCAATTACATGTTACCTAAAAATTTTCTATCATATTAATCTGTCGAAAAAAATCGACTAAAAGTCTAAATCACAAGAGTGGCATCTTTAGAAAGAGCACAAAAAATTGAGTATTATCCTAAAATATAACCGTGGGGTATAACCTAGTCCCAAGCACAAATTTTTAAAATATTATTCTCTCCAAGAACAATTTTTTGTTGTCTTTCTCTGTATTTTTTTCGTTTTCTCAACTGTAATATATATGTTCATGTATGAATGAGAACGAAAAGAAAAGTTGCTCACACGGATTACTCTGATGAGAGACAAGAATTTATAGTGTTCTTCATAATGATAAACGAAATGAATCTGTGCAAAATAAAATAAATAATAAGTAATGAAAATTTTGATAGAGTATTAATTATTCTTGAAGTTCACCAGCGTAGTCTATAGTTATAGCATGATTTGTTCTCTAAATTACTTTCAACATTATTTTTCTTAAAAGTTTGACTTTATCAAGTTTTTTTTTTTTTGTTTTCTGAAAAGTAAATAGCTTGATTCGTATTATGTTAAATTATGTTGAAATGATTCTTCTTGCTATGTCCAACTAATTAAATAGCTTAAGATTTCTTATCTTAATCTGATTTAATAATAAAAAACTACATGATTATAGAGAATGATAAAACTGAATAATATGTAGAGCTTTTGTCCAAATAATTACATTAGAAATTCTTAGTAAATATCTTTAAAAATTGTGCTAACAAGAGCAACAATAAATATCTTTCATTCTTGAAGAGAGAATTGAGTAGATGACTGCTATGAAGTACATTAGAATTTTATCAAAATTCAAGGTTATATTTTTATTTCGAGCTTTCGGTGAACACTATCACCATCGTCAGGAAAAAGATAACAAGAGAAAGAGACAATACAA